CTCACAAGGTGCACTGTAGAGGAGTTTTGAAACCAGATCTAGCTAGACAGATGCAAAAACTAAATTTGTACCCATAACAGAATTTATTTGTAGTTATTTGTTATGTAGTTGTCGAGTTGTTTAGAAGCAAGAAGTAATATTGAAGTTGGGGTTCCATGTCCAACTTAGGGGTCGTTTGATACGAGGTATAAGAAGGTATAGTGCTGGTATAAAAATTTAAGGCAGAATAGCCTAAATGGCACTTATACTTGTGCCACTTTGTCATGCCGGTCCCCAAACTTATCAGTTTGCCAATTGAACACTTACACTCGTTCAAATCGTGTATAATAAACGCTTATGACATGAGCTACCAGTGTGTGTAATACAATCTCCTACACGTAGGACGCCACATCATTACTAGTGCCACATAGGAAAATAAACTATTTGAAAAATAAGACTGGCCACCCTACACAAATACCGAACCCATAGAAAAGAGATACAATAGGTTCTTTCTTCTAAACCAGAATATACCCAGAAGCTTCAAGCGAGCTTTAATGGCGTCTCTGCTTGTCCCTCCAGTTTTGATCCTCAAACACAAATGTTTATCGCCATTTTCAGGTCTAAATTTCAATACCCAGCTGAGTTCTAGTACTATGTAAGCAACAACTTGATGTTTCAAATCAATAGATTCGGTCTTCGCAAGACCAACAATGAAATTTCGAAAATTCTCAACAAACAAGCCTTTGAGTCTCCTCCCCAAAATTCAATTAAAGATCCAAATAGTGAAACACAACAACAATAATCAAATCAATAGATTCGTTCTTCGCAAGACCAACAATGAAATTTCGAAAATTCTCAACAAACAAGCCTTTGAGTCTCCTCCCCAAAATTCAATTAAAGATCCAAATAGTGAAACACAACAACAATAATCAAAACAGATCCATTCGTCAACCTAAAGAGTCATCGAAAACAGACCACCCTTCACCTACAAAGCTTTTTCAAAACCAACACTCCGCCGTTGTACCACCAATCAACCACCAGAAAAAAGAACCTGCCATAAAAAATGACTACCCAAAAGACCAACATCACCCAAAACAATCTGAAATTTTGCTACATGAAAACGAATCGAAAATAGGTTTCACAAGAAATCTTCTTCCACTATTTCTATTTCTTTTCCTTGCAAAGGCTATCTTCCAAAGTAAGGAAATGGGGATGCGAGAAAAAAATTCCCCAAAAATTGCTGCTGATCTAGTAGAGGTTTTGGATATGTGGTGAATGCAGATGTGAAGGGAAGGGCTGTGTAATTAGGGGTGTTGGGTTAAAATGGGGGAAGAGGAGTAACGTGGAGAAGGGAGGGGGGTTGGTGGACTGCAGAACTAAGAGAAGCAGAGACACCATTAAAGAGCTTAGGCACCTTCATTCTTTCTTTTTCTAATTTGATTTTTTGTATTTTTCTTTTCTTTTTATTTTTTCCTTATTTTAATCATTAATTTTTATGTCCACGCTCCTTATATGCGTGAAATATACGTATTTTGTTCACTTCAGCAGTTAAGTTGCCACGTAGACTTGGTCAATGGTCTGAGGGATTTAAAATATCGGCTTTGAACAACTATAAGTGTCTGGACGAAACTTTATCAATTATAGGGACCGGGATGACAAACACGAACAAGTACAAGTGCCTACCAGGCTATTCTACCAAAATACCACCTTAATACTTTATTTGGTTAGCAAACCAGGTATAAGTTATTCCGGGATTAAAATTAATACCGTGATAATTTATACCTTATAGAGGGTGGGTTATTAGCACCGGGATAACTTATACCTTCTTCTTAGAGATTATGCAATTATCATTTTTAATACAACATATCAAACAGTCGATAAAAAACAATCCCAGCATAACTAATCCCAGTATAACTTATCCCAGCATAACTTATCTCGGCATAAGCCGTATTCAAACCAAACGACCCCTTAGGGTACCAGTTATACTTAGTAGGCGGTTTCAAATTTGGAATTTCACTAAAATTTGAATTGAAGATGAAGTTGTATTTGGTTATAATTTTTGCAACATATTTGGATGTGTTTTTTTCAGAACCATGAAACATGATTTATATTCCACAACTTGTAAAAAATGTCAAAACCATCCCAATTTAATTATCCTACTTGAAATAAACAACCGCTTGTCGGATTGGGATGGCAAAGGCAGTCGCACACTTTGGTGAGAAGAAGACCTGCGCGTTTTGTGTTTTTGTGGGTAGTTGTAGGTTAATAACTGATGAGGTTATTTTATAAATTTTAAAAATATGGGGTAAATTTGTAAAACTAAAAACTAGCAAATTCCTATTTTCAATTGAAAAATTGGTTCTCATTGGTTTTTCAAATTTGAAAATGCATTTTCAAATGAAATTGAAAAAATTGGTAAGAGTTTGATAACCAAACATTGTTTTCAAAATAAATTTTGAAAAAAAGGAAAATTTTGCATGTCCAAACGGGCTCTTATAAATATTGAAAATTTAATTACCAAAAAAAGTACTCCCTTCGTTTCAATTTATGTGAACCTGTTTGACTGGGCTCGGAGTTTAAGAAAAAATAAAGACTTTTGGAATTTGTGGTCCTAAACAAGTCAAAAAGGGGCCCAGAGTATTTGTGTGGTTATAAAAGCTTCTCATTAAGGGTAGAATTACACGTTTAAGCTAAATTGTTATTAAATTTAGAAATGGATCATTCTTTTTGGAATGTACTAAAAAGGAAATAGGTTCACGTAAACTAGAATAGACGGAGTACTATATTATGAAGAAAGGGCATTTATGGTAATCCAAGAAAAAGAACTCCCACTAGCGAACTATTTCAACCCTCCAATAAATCATCATCATATCATTTTGCAGCTCATAAAAAACTTTTGATCCAAAAATGCTAGCAGTTTTTGACAAATCAGTGGCTAAAAGTCCAGAAGGGCTTCAGAGTCCGAGCAATGAGACCGCAGTATCTGCTCTGAAAGATGGTTTCTTGGCACAGCGCTTTGCCTCCAACCATTCAGGCTCTGTCACCATCAACTTGGGTTCTTCTGGATTCTTGGCTTACTCCCCTGATCGCCAAAACCCTCTTCTTCCCAGGTCCTATTTCTTATCCCATTTGTCTTTGATCTGATATTTGTTGTCATTTACCCCAAAAAGATAAAGGAAACTAAGATCTAACGACTGTTTTTTTTAATTCCACTCAGTTGACTTTATGTTCTTGTGTAATCCGATCTCTCATCTTTTCTGCGATTTATTTATTTGTTTTTATAGTGGATCTTGGTGAATTTGACAAAATATTACTTTTTTTCAAAAAAATATTTCTCTTTTATGTGTGCTGGTTTGTGATTTGTGTTTTTGTCGGTTTCGGTTTGGATACAATGATGGTCTTTCTGGGGTTTAGTTTTAGGAAATGCACTAGTGGCTTGTGTGTGACAGATTTTCCTTTTTTATTTTTTATTTAATAATCACCATTGTCATTCAGTTGCTGCTTTAGTATGATTACTTATTTGTGTAAATTCTGTTTCATGTTAGAGTAATTTAGATTTATTTATTTTGAACCAAATCATGCTCTCTGGAGACATCTTCAGCCATCAGAATAATGAAATTTTAGATTTTTTTGTTTTTTTTGCATACCATGCTTTCTGTTTCTTGTAGGTTGTTCGCTGTTGTGGATGACATATTCTGCTTGTTTCAAGGCCACATTGAGAATGTAGCTCATCTTAAGCAACAATATGGGTTAAACAAGACAGCAAACGAAGTGATCATTGTTATTGAGGCTTACAGGACTTTGAGGGATAGAGGTCCTTATCCTCCAGATCAAGTTGTGAGAGATATTCATGGAAAGTTTGCTTTCATTCTTTATGATAGCTCTTCAAAGACTTCCTTCCTAGCTTCTGTGAGTAGTCCTTGTTGTCTTGAATCGTCTTGTCTCTTGTTGTCGAACTAGACTTTACATGTACCACTTTCATTGTTATAGGATGTTGATGGGAGTGTGCCCTTCTTCTGGGGTACTGATTCTGAAGGCCACCTAGTTCTCTCCGATGACGCTGACATTGTGAAGCAAGGCTGTGGAAAATCCTTTGCACCATTTCCCAAAGGTAATGCAGATGAACTTCTTGCACTCAAGGGAAAGGTCTACACACATAGTATTTCTTTTTTGTTTTTGGATGAGTAATCAGTAAAAGAATTTCTATTGACATGGGAAAATAAGGAGTTGCTGCTCAACCATAGGATGATTAAAATAGACAAATATGCTCTTTGCAAGCTAATTAATATGCGTCTCTGATGACCAACATAACCAAATGAGTTGATTTGTATCGGATCCATTCTGACCTCTTCTATTTGTGCAAATAATTCTCTTTTCTCTCTTTTTCCTTGGGTGAAGAAGAGGGTAAATTGGGGTGAGTTCATGTGGCAAGACAGCAAGATGCCTATACATAAATCAATCAAATTGGGTGGGATTCATAAATCAGGTTGGCACATGACATAATATCCGTGGGTTTGGATATATGCTTCATGTGCTTCTCATACTCCACTTTCTCGTATTTGGCTTTTCCCGTCCATCCTTATGTAGCATTTTCGGATTTAATGCTATAACAATGTGTTTTGTGTTTGTTGTTTCGTTGCTTTTTTCAGATGCTCAATGTCAGTTGGTTTACTTTTGAATCTTTCGCAGAATACTTATGTGTCTTGTTGTTTGTTTGCTTGTTCAGGATGCTTCTTCACATCTTCTGGTGGCTTGAGGAGTTATGAGCACCCCCGTAATGAGTTGAAACCAGTACCAAGGGTGGACAGCTCAGGCGAGGTGTGCGGTGCAAACTTTAAGGTGGATGCTGAGTCTAAAAAAGGGGGTACAGGCATGCCCAGAGTGGACAGCGCCGCTAACTGGTCCCAACACTACTAAGCTGACTGCAGTTTTCATCACCACAGAGGCTTCGTTATTATTTGGCCTTCTATCTTGTGCTTTTCCAACTCTTTCTATTATTCTCAACTTCTATTGCTATGAGCTTTATGGTCGTAGAGAAATGTTAAAAGGTGAGGAAAGATATTTCATATTGCTACCGAGCAACGTGATTCCCTATGTCGTATACTGGAATTAGGCCATTTTCTTGGCCGGAAGACGTCTACTTTAAATAACTTCTGTCTTGAGACAGGTTTGCTTATATCTTAGTATGTGTATTTGGTGCTTCTGTTTTCTTTTAACCCTGCCTTTTCCATTTACAAATGTTTTCTTTAGCCAATATTGGTACGTTTCAGATCCATGCTGTCTGGCTAATGTTTCTTGCTAATAAGAAACATCAGCGTTCAGGTATCTGTTCCCTTGTGCATTGAGATTGTAGCATACCCAAAAGTTGGGCTAAGGCCAAAGAAACAGTCGTTGCTTAAAAGATGGTAAACTAAGCACATGACACTATATGCACAGTATGCTTTGGCAGGAAAGTGGCTCTGGCTACATAGCAACTTGCCTTGTCAAAAAGGTAGGTTGTTAGATATCAGAGGACAACCGAGGATTTGTGAACATAGATGATCGGATGAAGTATTGGGACTAAAATTGCATGCTAACCGGAACTGCCAATATTATTGCTATTGCATGTCAACATTTTGTAAACCGTCTATGATAATACAAGATAACTAGACTAAGAGCAAGAAACTAACTATATTAGTGAAAACACCACGTGCAACCACGTTAAGTGTGACAAAACAGTGGTTTACAAACATCTTTTTATGCTAGACTGATATATTTACAGTTAACACTAAAAAGTAAGCATCAAAATACGAAAGCGGGAATGTAAGCATAAGCAGCTCTCTGCTGCAGCAGAGAGGCAGTCCCAGCTGATCTTCAGTCCTTAGCATCTGCAATTCCTCCTGGTGTTATCTGAAAAATGTGTTTTTTGTTAAGAAAACTTAATAGGTGACCAGGAAAAAAAACCTTAATTAGGTGAACTTTCTAGTTAACCCCTTGCTGCTAAACTTGACTCAGTGGAAAAGAATGAAAAGAGAAGGAAAGCTAATTTAATTAAGAGTAGGATATTGCTTCGGCCTCTGGAAGATTTGGTGCATCAAACACCTTGCAGACACGCTGTTCTCCTTTGCCCTTCCTGAACATTAGTCTTATAGTTGCTGCGTGAGCAAGGACATGACCTCCTGCTGGCTTCTTTGGATCTGATATGAACACCCCTCCACCTGGATCAGCTATAACTGCATTCACCAATCCAACTACTTGTGTTAGCATGCTTAGAGTTTCAACTTAGATAAAAGGAAATCAATATACAGCACAGAAAGCGAGTCAGTTTAGCTGTTTGGAGTAAAATCCATTACATCAACAATTAGGAAGTTTCATTGTGGTTACTCTCCTATTCCTTCCCAGGAGTAAAATCCATTACATCAACTTAGCTTGTTTGATATTTTTTGATTCTAAACATATCAACAATTTGTAGAGCTGCGCAGAGTAGATTGCCTACCTTGATTAGTCATGTAAACAGCAACATTAAATTCCTCAGCTATCTTTATCAATCGGGACAGCATCTGAGCCAACTTTTGCTGGATATGGCAAGAAGGTGCAGTCACTCAAATTAAAACATATTTAGAATAGGTGATTGCAGGCTCTTCTTAGAACAAAGATAAATATCAAGAGACAGGAACTTATAAATCAAATATCATATTTCTGTATTTTGTTATACCTGACGTTCTGCAAGTTCTCCTCTTCCAGTGAAATCCACTCGAAATAAAGCAATCACAGAGTCAACAATCTGCAAGTAATATTTCAGTATATGAGTCCATTAGCAATGATTCTATTCAGGATAAACTGGAAGTTGTGGCTTTCACCAGAAGTCTGAAAGGCTCTTCAGCCATTTTTGCTGCCAGACCAAGAAGCAGGCTGTACTGATGTTCGTATGTGTATGCACGAGCATAAATGATCTGGTGAATTCACATCATAAGGGGAAAAGGGAATGATAAGAAATCAGCTGAAAAATCAGTAAGCTAAACAAAGAGAGGAGAGATCATTAAATGAGGGTCAAAAGACGCTTTACATTGTCAAGAACAGCTCCTGCGTCCATTCCAAATCTTTCAGCAATGGGCACAAGACGATCTGGCCGACTATAGTACACTTAGTTGAAGAAACAAGATAAAATGGAAGGAAGCATTCTCTTTTGTTTCTACAGCTGCTACTTCATGAGGAGACTTTTAAGTGCTAGTTTGATTATTGATGCTACATGAGTAAGGAAATATCAGCAAGGATACAACGTTCCCTCAGTATCAATGTAAGCCACCTTTCCATTCCCTCCTTTCATGCTAGTAGGAAGCTGAAATAAATCAGACAAACGAATTGACACTCTTGTCATGTTCTGGATGATACCATGATTAAGTCTAAAGCATATAAAGGATAAGGAGGGATTTAGAAGGTCAAAAACTTCATTGCTTCTAACTAAGATCAGAGGTGAACCTGAGTAGAGACACAGAGAGTATGAGCAAGTTGTGTCTTTCCAGATCTGAATAAATTGTTCATTCAGCAGAGAGTTAGATGAAATATTCAGATAATGCTTCTACACCAAAGGTAAAACGATAATTAGTTGATTGTTACCTGAATTCACCAAAAGCTTCAGTGATTGCTGAAGTTTCGATCCCTCCTTCAGAAAGTTCACACCAGAAAAAAAACAATCAGAACCAAGAGCTATTTATGTGACAAGTAAAGAATTCAGGATAAAATTAAGTAGTGGAACATTTACCTCCCAAAAGTTCATCCAGTGCCTGGCTTCCAGTTGTGATACGAACTACCTGCTTCCTCTGTAGCAAACATGTTGTATTCAGATATCTTTTTATATAAGGCACAAATAGGATTCTACACTTCCTTATATATGTCACTCAAGCAGAAAGGATCAAGAGTGGATAGCAAAGAAAAGAAACACCGTGATTTTACTCAATAGGAGCTGTTAGCACTAAATTATAGACTGGGTTTTGTGGGCTATTAACTTTTAACATCATCAGTCAAACGAAATCTAAAATGAAAAAAGAAACAAAAAACTCATACTTTGAGCAGAGCATCACTTCCAGTAATATAGCCAAAATTCTGCAAAGATTACAAAAATAGTGAAGTCAGTAGTAGCAGAAACATATGATGATATCATCACTTGGAATATGACAATCAGTACATAAATCTCTTACCACTATCTTCTCAGCTGCTTCACAGATCTTGTCAACTTTTGCTTCGGATAGCCCTTTGATCCCAGTCAAGTTCTGGAAGCAAGACAAATTTGATACTTATTAGAAGAAAGATTGCAAAGCGGAAGTATATAATGCGCGCATCGTGGATAATAAACAACAGAAGTGATTTTCCTTTTCACCTTCTTCGTGTGCATCATCAAGCCATTGCAGGTGTAGATCCCTACATCTTGCAGCTTCTTCACGTCCCCAGCATTGATTCCATGAGAGATCACTGCATAAAATATTTAATAATTTTACAAAGTTAGCTGATTCATAACATTTAATTGTCAGGAAAAGCTTATCAGGATTTTACATGAATTTAAATTTGACATCGAAAATTGAGACTATAGCTTCATCATTCCAGTTTAAGATCTGCTTTGAGTTTTACATTCAATTGTGTAAGTTCAAGGAGATGGTCTTTATTAAAAGACTATTCCATGACAATACCTTAAAAGGTAGATACCAGGAGGAACATAATACTGCAAATTTGAGTTTGTACTCTTCTAAAATGCAGTCGATGAGATTACTAACACGTTCATAAAATCCCAAAGGGATCATGATATGAAAAACTCACAAACAGAGCAGAAAATCGAAACCGTAAATTATGCTACAACGATGAGATCAAAACACAGACACACTAGCACTGATGGAAAAATAAGACAACTGGATGAAGTAATGAGCATAAGACCAGTAAATTATATGGACATTATGTAGCCAGCTGATTTGAAGCCAGAATTTTATGAGTTAACGAAGAAAAATACAGAGCGCAACGAATTTTTTTGAATTAAAGAGAACTCCTCAGATTTGTTACGAGATCATCATATTCCAAATTACCGCCAAATCCTTCTGATGCGCTTGAAAATCACATATCCCAGTTACAGAAGAAAAACTGAAAATCAACATCACACACGCTAGCATTGATTGAAGAATGAACTAGTAGCTTGAATCATGAGTAAACAGTAAGTACTAATTGTGTCACAACGAACCGAATCATAAGCATAACACAATAATCATATTCTAGAGAACCTTTGATGATTAATAAGATAAATCATAAACAGCAACGCGATTTTGCATTAAACGATGTTTATATAAGATATTTACAATAATCATACTTCAGTAAAACGTACCGTTTAGTGAAACAGAGGAACTTAACAAGTACTAATTGTGTCACAACGAACCAAATCAGATCCATAACTTTCATCAACTAAAAAAGAAAATTCATACATTAAACTAACATGAATTTTAACGTTTAACCAAAATTCCTGTTGAGTTTTTTACGAGAAATGAGAAATATTGTAGTCAAAAAACATTGTAAAATGTTGAGCCAAACCGAAAAATAGAATAATAAGAACTAATCCAGATCCATAATTTTCATCAATTAAGAATGAAAATCAAACAGTTAACGAGTGTCAAGGTTACTCCAAAGCAGTAGTATAATGTGCGCGAAACTGATAAACAGTACTACGACTATCCCAACAACTACTTCAGAGACATAACTTTCATCAACTAAGAAAAGCAAAATCACACCGCAAAGGATAACAAAATTTTGAAATTAAATAAAATTGCTGTTGAATTTTGAAGAAAAATGTATTTTGCTGAGCGAAGCTGAAAACGGAGAATTATAAGAATTTGGCAACCGAAAAAAAAAGAGAAATTACGTTTATCAATAGCCTCGAATAAGTCATCTTCATCTTCGATCTCTTCACGTTCAACGAGCTGTAACTGCTCTTCAGGTCTGAAAATCATTCAACACATCAGAATACAAAATACTGATCAAAATCGTAGAGAGAGAGAGAGAGAGAGAGAGAGAGAGAGAGAGAGAGAGAGGGAGAGAGAGGAAATTACTTGAATGCAAGCATTTTCAAAGTTTCGAGAGAGATTTGAAATTTTGCTGAGAGGAAAGGAGAGTGTTTGTGCTGTTTGCGTGAGGAGAATTTGAATTGTGAAATCTCAGAGAGGAGACTTTTCACGTTTATATAGGGAGAGAGCGGAGCCCGGGAGTTTATTTTTGTGTTTGGGTTCCGATTGCATGTGGGCGCTTTAAGAGCAAGTCCATCAAACTTGGTAAATTTACTCACATGTTAAGAGTTAGTCCATCAAACTTGGTAAATTTGAATTTTGGAACATTGATATTCAAAGCTTGCAATCAAATTTTACGTGTTAGTATTACTTTTTGCTAATTTATTACCTGCTTCCAATTTTTTGAACCATTTCAGATTTCTAAAAGTATTCGACGAAATTCTTTTAATACTATTAATCTGGATAGTTTTTTAAGAAAAAAAATCCAGCAAAATGAAGATTATGCAAACAGTCTTGTTAAACATTGTGTGGAAAAGTTTAAAATTAATGTACAGTATGTGATTCTTTTTATGTGAGTGGTACCAAAATTTTCCATTTTATCTTTGTTTCCCCTAAAAAACAGATAACAATTAAATTTGTAAGTAGTTTTAAGGATACGTGGATTAAATCGATACAAACGATAAATTGCGTTAGATTAAACAGATAAAGGGGGCAGAAAATTATCAAACCACTTGAGGAAGGTGATTTCGGACCTAACAACAACCTTAATAAAATATCCGCTCTCAATCCCGGACTCACAATAATCAAGCGCTGATGAACAAAAATAAAAACTTTGAGTAACAGTGAAAATAATAGTATATTGCCTTGATATGAGTGTTACAATCTATTTAATGAATAATCAGATTCCCCTTTATATAGTAGGGGAATTTTACCCTAAGTATAATTCTATAAAAGGTAAAAATCTCTTGTTTAACTAATCACCGGTTCTCTATCGATACGTGCCGAGATTCACGCCATGATATCTGGCCGGTCGCGAATATCACGACCTTCTGCTGGTCATACTCAATCATCTAGTAATGCTCTCTGGGGCCTTCAGGTTTCGAACCGAACCTTGGGGCTATGGCCCCGATATTCCCGAGGGCAATCATTTCACCTAGACCCTGGATCGAGGGGCTTCTTGCCTCGATTCCAGTTTCTTACCTCTTCACGGAACCTGAGCCGTACCATGAGCTCAGTTTTACCAATATACACTCTTGTGTTAGTAATCAAGCTACTCCTCAAACTTCGCATTATTTCTCAAGGTTCGTCATTGACCGGTGATCGAGAAGATGCTAAGTAGATAAAAAAAGAATAGACATAATTACTAGTCAATGGCCAGATTTTGAAATATGAGTTGAGAATATCTTTAGATAGGAACTTTGATACTTTTTTTTTAGTATTAAATTTTTAAAGATCAATGCTATATAAGTATTTTGCTCTAATAATTTTCATTAGCTGGAGTTTTGTCTCAGTTTTCCTACCATACCAATGCATACTTTGTGTCAAGTTCAATAGTCTATTATCCATATGCTTTCTTAAGAAGTCTCAATCATGAGTACATTATCGATGTATGAAGTAATGTTATAATCGCTCTTAATTCGCCTTACAAGATGAATACATTTCTAATACCTTTAGAAACTGGAGAAAACTTAAAAAATGAAGCTCAGTTTAAAACTTTTTTGAATAATATTTCTATTTAGGGTGGAGTGAGGTGGAGCGAAGGTGGGTTGGGGTTGGGGTGGGTGGAGTTGGGTGGGCTGGAGGTGTAGGGGTGGGTTGGTGGGGATGAGGAATGAGAAAATGATGGAAAAGAGTTTTGGAAATGTTTTCCCTTCTCTTGATAGGAAAACATTTTCCTCCAATTAGAGGAAAATGAGTTCACGAGGAAAATATTTTCCAAAGCATTTAAGCCTAGGGGATGTTAATGGATATTTAAAAACCGAATAAACTGACCGAACCGTATTGAACCGGTTTTTAGGTTTCTTTAATAAAACCGTAAGTTTTTATCAAAATTTATAACCGTACCTATAATTAGGGTAGTTTTTTTATTTTATAAATATAAACCGAAAAAATACCGAACCGTATTGAATAAATTTATAGTGTGAAAAATATATTTATGTATTAAGTTTAAAAATAATAAACATTGAATTTTTTCTTGGGCCTTGGAATTATTAAATAATTACAAGTCAACAAGTATTTAAACTCAAAATCCTAATTCCCAAACCTATTATGCTACTCCTATTGAAACTAAATTATTTCTAGCATATTCACTAGCAAAACACAAGGTATTGTAGTGATTATGAGTAGCAAACTACAATGTATTGAATATGTTTCCTTTCGTATGATTTGGATTTTTCTTTTTGAATATTTAATCTTCTATAAACTTTATTCTGGAGTGTTAGCTTGGTTAGTATCTTTCCACTCGTGTGATTTATATTTTTATTGTATTTGTTTAGTTTCTTTTACGTTGTTGTAGAATAGTTGATAGATTTATACACTAACCATCTTTCATGTTTTCTTAATTCATCACCTTTTAAACTTTAAAAATGTCTTGAGAGTTTTGTTAAGTCCTATAAAAGTACGTATGTTATTGCATTCTACTTATAGTGACTTTTACATGATATTCAAAAAAATTACCGAAAATTAATCGAACCATATCGATACCAAAGAGAAAACAACATGATTGAGACGATTTCAAAAAGTATAATTTTGGTTATACATAATAGAATAACCGAAAAATTGATATGGTAAAATTTTTATAAAATAACTGACCGAACTGAATCATTGACACCCCTATTTAAGCCAACCAAATATGAAAAAATTAAAAATATTATTTAAAAAATATTTTCTTTCGTACCAAACACACCCTAAGAAAAGTGACTTTCTTCACTTGTAAAGTAATCTGATAGTGCATTTTAAGTAGTTTATAGATGTTATAGTATTGGATAGTGAGATGTTTCGTCTTCTAGAAAATAATTTTCGGGAAAATAAAATTCTCATATCAAACATTTTAGAAAAGATTTACTCTCCTGTACTCCCTCCCCTCTCTCTCTTTATTTTCTCATTGTTTTTTGTTTCCTTTCACAAGTTTTTCTATTCTTCTATAAGTGAGAGTTTAGCAGCTCTCCGTCAACGTAATAGCTTGCCATTTAGGGGTATTTTTTGTTATTAATAGATTTTCGTGCTTTAGTTGTGTATTACTAAGTGCAACAGTATGTACACCTTCTCAATTGCAGGGCCCACCAGAACATTCATAAATGCAATTGTCAAACATGGAGAAATTAAAAAATAGCTAGATTTATAAATAGTCATTCAAAAATAGCCACAATTTCAAAAGTAATCGAAATTTAGTAACTTTTCATGTAAAGATAAATTTGAACGAAAATACTGTTCAAAATTCGGAAAAATACTCCAGTATAATATATTGGAATTTTACTGGAGTTCCAGTATATTATACTGGAACTTTCCGCGTGTTAGAATTCCAGCATAATATGCTGGAAGTTCATACACAGGTGCACCGATCTCCAATATATTATGCTGGAACTTTCCGTGTTGCAGCAAAGTAGTGACTATTTTTCAATGACTTTGCAAAATCCTGGCTATTTTCAAATGACCAATCCAAAAACTGGCTAGCTCGTGCTATTTTTACTTGTCAACAACCATACTTTAACCTGGGCTCCAGCAACTGCAGCAGCCTTTTAGTGCTATCATGGCATGTGGAGCCCATTTAAATTACTAACTAGCTTTGTATTTGAATTTGTAAATTGTTAAGAAACTTAGCTCAAAGTAACATTATAAAACAAACAAATAGACAAAAATGTAGGGAGAAAGAGAGGAGGGATATTTCTTCCATGTATTCAAGTGTTCAAGTCTATTACAAAATGACTTCTCATCCTCTATTTATAGTACTACATAGAGGTATACCAAAAAAATTACATAAATATGTCATTAAATATTTGAGATCATGGTGGAAGATCATGGGGGATGTATGGGAGTTACAACCATAACTCCATAAGCATTAGAGTAGTGGTAGTTATGGAGATGATGGAGAAGAGTAGTGGGTATTACTCATTTGGTGGTTATGGACATCCACCATAATTATATTTTATAACACTCCTCCTTGGATGTCTATAGATAATGTGCCTCATTAAAACCTTACTAAGAAAAAATCATGTAGGAAAAAAATCTCAGTGAAGGAAAAAGAATACACATATCTTGTAATATGCATTATTTGTTGTCTCGTTAAAAACCTTGTTAGGAAAATCCAATGGGATAAAACCTCAGCTAAGGAAAAAAGAGTGCAACACCCCCTGATGAAAACATCACTTTACTTTTCGAAAATGACGCATTCCAATCCTATATACCGGCTTCTCAAATGTTGGGGTTGGTAATGATTCATTGAACAGATCCACCAAATTATCAATCAAATAAATTTGTTGAACGTTTATATCACCAATCTGTCAAAGATCATGTCTGAAAAGAACTTTGGCAAAATGTGCTTTATTCTGTTGCCTTCAATATATCCTTCTTCCAATTGAGATAAGCAAACAATATTCTTCAGTATTATTGGAATCTTCTCTTCAAAGAAAAGCCACATGTCTATTGTGTGTTGAGTCCCTTTCTTTATCAGTTGCTTATATTGGCATGAGTTGAATAAGTATCAATAATTAACTATCTTGTAAAATGATAATATGACAATACTCTCACATGGAAATAGATTGTTTGAAGAACGAACTTTAGGAAAATGCCTGTATTTGCATAACCAACAAAATCTTGGCAATATTTGTTAGAATAAACAAATCTATCAATGATTCTCTTGTAATATATTACTAATTGCATTTCAGTATCTTTATATCGAATTAAAGTTAAATATTGCTAGTATAACATTATACTCAAGGTTCTAGCAAGAAACATAAGTGCACCTAGTGCACTAAGACACAAAAATAAATTATATAAGTCATACATGGATTGCTGAAGCTTTATTTAACAAAATTTTGGGGAACCTCTATATGCTTTAGAACAGTTTAAATCCTTCAGGGATATTCATTATACACATATCAAGTTTTTTCATGTATTGCCATATTATAACC